AAACGCCTGGAAATGTACCAACTCCATGGTTCAGCACTGGGAATTATAATAACTACTATAGCAGGAGACTGCGGACAAGGTGCGTCCAACTAAACCCTCCTGACTGCACGACCAAGTTACGAAAACTAGGTCAACCCACTTCTATACATCAAAAGGTAATTACGACCATACCAAAGTCCACACCATCTTTGTCTTCATATCTTCGATTATGACGTATCTTTTTCAGTTTAATTTCACACAAAATGATTGTATTGCGTCGGCATATATAATTGACTTTTAATACCTGCATGAAGTTGTGCAAAGTACATAAAGAATGGTGTTATACTTGAGACAATTTACGCCGATGAACTTTTGCATTTTTAACTTCTAGGTATGCTCCTCACTTGATTCGCTTTTTTACAAATGTAAAATGATTTCTCTCTTTCTTTCTCAACTAGTGCTACACTTTTAATGATTTTTTTCTGTTTAGTCTTGTATCTTCCCTTCACCTATTTTTCCTATTTTCTTCGGCTTTATCCCTTTGTTTTTTAGCTTACTATTCATTCTTATTTTTCACCGTTTCTTTTATTAAAGTACCTTCACTTTTCATCGTGTCGCCCTGCTCGCCCCACCCGGCCACTCTATAATGCATATTCACATACTCTCATTCATATGATGATAGCAATTTAAGGGACACACTGAGGACCTCTGGAAGCGTCTGGTGCAAACGGACTTCAAAGGTCAAAAGGAGGCGACTCTTTCTCGAGGGGAGACTTGGGCAGACCTCCATGCCCGCCTGACAGAGGAGTCTTCCAAACGCCTGAATAGATTTATTCAAGCCTCTTCAGAGAAGATAAAAGCTGAGCAGGCAGGTATGTCTAATATGGCGCACTTTCATTCGCTATTGGTTTGTCTCATTCTTACTTTATCTGCTTATTCGAAGGGCTCATGTTCATGAGGACAAACCTAGACTAACTTAACTATGGAATAATTTTGGTAGGCATTACTGAGACCAATTTATATAGTCTTCTAGGACCCTGGAATTGTTAACGTTTATTTTTGCTTGTAAATATGTTTCGAGACTATCAGTAGATTATACATATACAATGTATTCGCCCTATTTCGTGAACACCGTGAAAGACTAGTAGTTGAATTTTCCCATATTCAGATAATTATGTCTCACGTTTTCATTGAATTTCACATATCCTTGCTTCTCGAAAGGTAATCTTATGTCCGCTTAAGTTGACTTCACTTTCGGCCTCGCCCTGGTGTTATCAGCACTCCCAGCGGGACCCAAACCCGGGTCGTAGTAGTGCAACCTGTAGTCTCGATACGTTGACTACTACGCCATACATCTGGGAGTGCCCTTGCATCACAGGTCAGAGAAAGGCCTTTTCCATATCACATTTCATCATATTTTTTCTATTCTTATGAATTTTTATCTGAACTATCTACTAAGCTATAGGATTATAAGTGCCAGTCATTTTCTTACGCTCTATAGTGCTAAAAGGAGCTTTAATATGAACCTTTAAAATGTTTAGCTTACAATTGCTATTTTAAAATTTACTCCAGAACTCGAAGGTATGAAGGCCAAGATGGTGTGGCCTTTTAGTCTTCATACCTACTATTAAACTATGGAAGTAAGATTGCCA